CTCCTCCTCCTCCTCCTCCTCCTCCTCCTCCTCCTCCTCCTCCTCCTCCTCCTCCTCCTCGTTGGATAATGTGATGCTGAGTTGTCGCACTGATGAGGCGCAGAAGCCAGCGGTCTTGCTTGAGGTGTGCACGGCGCTGGCGGTGGTGGCGGCTGCTGCGAGGACAACATGGCCAAACCACGCAATTTCTGGACGCTTTCGGTATGGCGTCCAATCCGAGCTCGGACCCCGGGATTCCCCAAGCACGCCGGAACCACTTCTGGGGCCGCTACCGTCCCAGGCGGCCCTCAGAAGAACTTGGCAGCTCGAGCTTAAGATCCGGATCCGTTCGGTCAGGACTCGAATGCCAAGGACGCCTCGATCCACAGGGCACTGGAATACGGCACCTCATGAGACAGCGCGGCGCGACACATCTCAAGTCAGCACGGAGCAGCCCCTGGCATGGCACAGCACCATCGGTACCTCCGCAGCGACGCCCCGCAGACCGTCCACAGCAGAGCAAGAAGACGGCATACGCAGAAGCGGTCGGAGCTCCGCGCAGAGTTCTTGGATCTGCGCTGACGCCCCCGAGCGGCCCCTGTCGCGCCGCCCTTTGGCGCGCCAGGGAGGGGGGGCCCCGCGCCGATCCGAGAAACCCGCGCAGCGCTCCGAGATCTGCACGTGAGGGTTCTCACGTTTCCTTTGCAAGGTAGCTGTCTGGGCGCTCGAAATGGGCACGGGAACAGTGGGCGCACTGCCCAACAGCAAATGCTGTCCCGAACCAACGGCGGCCGCTGTTGGGCAGGCGGCCTTCTGTCTCAAACGGACGCAGGCCGCGGCGGCGCGGACAGCGAGTCCAGTTCAAAATGAGCAAGAACTGCTGTGGGGCATCGTACCCATTCTTTCCGTGCCCATCTCGTTCGTGCAGAAACTGCTGGGCACCTGTGCCGCCCTGGCCGGCCCGTGACCGCCCCTCGCCGCCCGTCCGCCGCCGCCGCAACTGGGACCCCGTGCCGCCCCAGCCAGGCTGTGGCCGCCCGTAGCCGCCCGTCGCCGCCGTCCGTCGCCGCTGATTGCGCCGCGCTGCTTCGCGCTGCTGCGCGTTGCTTGGCGTTGCTTCGCGTCGCTTGGCATTGCTTCGCATTGCTTTGCACTGGTTTGCATGGCGATGCACTGCGATGAGGCCGCTGTGCGCCACCTCGACTGCCCCACATGGATTGCACCACCTAGACTGCACCGCACAGATTGCAAGGAATCTCAGCTTGGGGGCCAAATCTGGCTAACATTTCTGGCTAGTGTCATTTTTCTTTTCTTCTTCTTCTTCGACACGTGTACACAAGCGGGTTGTCCCGTCTGCCCGGGGCAGCGGCGTCACGCGCTCGACATGAAGCCCCCGTACCCTGGCTTCGCAACCAGTGCTTCGACCGCCGCCGCGGCCTCGTCGGAAGCGCCACGGCAGCTCGGGTCGAGGAAGGCGAGGCCCAGCAGCGCGGGCACGTCCTCCGACAGCAGCGACTCCAGCTCCTGCAGCTTCCCCCTGCTCACGGGCGGCGACCACAGCCGTATCCGCGCCTCGCGGTCTGGATTCCCAGGCGCGACCCACCCCGCGGATGCGCGGTCGCACGGACGCGCTCCGCCCGGGGCATCTGCAACAAGAACGCCCCGCACCTGCGGGGTCGCGGCCCAGGGGCCCGATGCCGCGGCCGTGGCTGCGGCCATGTCTCCGCACACGACCTGTGGAGCCGCCGGAGCTGGGAGAGGTCGACGCCCTCCAGCTTGGACCTCATGAGCTCCACTGGAGGAGCAAAAGGAGCTGCATGAACGCAACTGCTCGGAGCTCCGCGTGGACTTCTGGGATCGGCGCTGGGCCCTGCGCGGAGCGCGCCAAAGGGCGGCGCCGAAGGCGCTGCCTGGGGGCCCCAGCGCTGGTACGAGAAGTCCGCCGGGAGCCCCGAACAATTCTGCTTCTGCCGGCTTTGTTCCCCGATCTACGCTCGGGAAGTCGCCCAGGGGCACGCCGTGCTTTCTCGACACCTCCTGGTAGATGCTGGGCAGGCTGTCGAGCAGCTCCTTCTGCGTGTTCGCGCGCTGCCACACCAGCGGCATCGCCGCTCGCAGGTGCTCAAGCAGCAGCGCGTGGGCCCTGACAAGCCTGGCTCTCCTGCTTATGTCGTTGATCCGTCTCACGGTCGAGGTGGCTGGCAGTTGCTCTATCTGAGAGTACAGATCGCCACGCTCCTTCTCGAAAAGATCGCGGTCACCAGCAAGGGGCTGGTCCCAGAACGAGCTCACGTAGACACGTGCCACCTCCGGGGTCCGCATCACCTTGCTAAGGGACCACATCAGCGCGCCGAGTACACGGAGCAGTTCTCGAGGCGTGATCTGGTCGGCTTTGTTGAGAACTATCCTGGCTTTCGGGAGGTTCCCGTCCAAACTTAAATCCGCGCCCCTCCCCCTCTGAGGGCCACTGGGCCTCAAGCTTCCTGGCAAATGTTTGATTCATAACACACTGTCTGGACCGACGCTGAAGAAGCACCTTGGCTGCAGGACCCCGTGGTGGGACATCCAGAGAGGCTGCTCCAATTAGCTCCCCGCGAGGATCTGAGGCCCTTTGAAACCGTTCACGGCGCGGCTGCACTCCCTACTGGCACCACAGTGGCGCCTCGCTGTGCGCCGAAGAGTCCCGAAGATGGTCGCCCCACCAAGCACCCCCCCCCCGGTCAGGAGTGCTCGCCCAACGAGATATGAATCGATGCAACGCTTGAACTCATCGGAGACATCCAACTTGTGCGCGTCAAAGAAGAGGATGATCATGTCGGACTGCTCTGCCAAGCGCGCCAACACCTCTTCGAAGTCGTAGCCGCGCTGGATGCGCTGCTTCTCTCCAGACAAGACGCCCGGAGTGTCCACGAGCGTGACCCCAGAGAGGAGGGGGCTCGGCAGCTTCGCGCACTCCAGGCGATCCAAGAATGCGTTCCCGAAAGCGCTGAGTCCCGAAAAGGGCAACGCTTCGTCATAGATGGCAGCGTTACCTCCCACGGTCTGCTCTCGGTCACCTTCGCAGACTATCACGAACCTGTCGGTTGTGGGCTCGGGTCCGATGTGGAGGCCAGGGTAGTCGCGCCCCAGCAGGTGCTGGATGAAAGTCGTCTTGCCAGTGGAATACTGGCCCATTGTGAGCACAACCGGCTTCGAGGTGAAGTAGGCCGCAGGGAGCCTGGGCGAGTGGAAGTGATGGAATCCGCTGTCCTCCTCGAGCGGCAGCATCTTCGTGCTGTACAGCTGCTGCAGCCCCTGGGCGACGCTGGAGAACGCGTGCTGGCTCTCCTTGCGCGCGAAAAGCCACTTGAGCCCGCCCATCACGGCGGCGTCAGCTCGGCTGAGTGCCAGGACCACCCTGCTCACAAAGTCGGAGAAGAGGTCCTGTGACTCATGGGGGTCATTGGAATAGTGCAGAGACGGCCGTCAACAACCGAAGCGCCCCTTGGACCCCAAAACTCGCGAGGACCAAACCAGTGAGATGCTCGGGCGCGGCTGCGTACCTAAATGGCTACAGCTGCGCCGTCACCAAGCGATGATGCCGATGACATGGAGCACTGGAGCATTGCTGCGCAGAGCGTTCCGAAATGCAACGTCTGTAATCGTGTGGTGCTCTTGGGTTGATGTAAAGCCATGACCCATCGTGGCTTCAGCTGTCCTGCAAAGTATTATCCCTCTGCTCATGCTTCAAGGCACTGAAAGATGGGTTCCCAGCTAAGTCCAGCTTGGTCTTCCAAGGTTGCGGAAATTGAAATAATTCTACAGCAGTGAATATCCACCGTGGCAATAACAAACTATATATATATATATATATCGGAAGTGAGAGCCCCCCATACCGGGAAATCGGTTTCGGTTTCGTGTTCGTGCGTGCCGTGCGTGCGGGCGAGGCGAAGCTGCGTGGGCGGGCGAGAAAAAGTCTCCTGTGGCTGAGGCGCGGCCGGACCAAATGACTCCCTTCCGGGCGGCCGGTGGCCCGCGGTGTCCCGCCGGTGTCCCGCTGGTGTCCCGTGTGGCTGAGGCGCGGCCGGACCAGATGACTCCCTTCCGGGCGGCCGGTGGCCCGCGGTGTCCCGCCAGTGTCCCGCCGGTGTCCCGTCGGTGTCCCGATGATGATGATGATGATGATGATGATGATGATGATGATGATGATGATGATGATGACGATGACGATGACGATGACGATGATGATGATGATGATAATGATGATGATGTCGATGATGTTGATGATGATGGTGATGGTGGAGATGATGATGGTGTCCCGATGATGATGATGTTGACGATGTTGGTGATGATGGTGATGGTGGTGATGATGATGGTGTCCCGGTGATGATGTTGATGATGATGTTTCTGATGATGATGGTGTCCCGATGATGATGATGTTGATGATCCTGATGATGTTGATGATCGATGCCCATGATGATGAAGATGATGATGATGATGGTGTCCCAATGATGATGAGGATGAGGATGAGGATGAGGTTGATGATGATGCTGTTAATGATGATGATGGTGATCATGATGGTGTCGCGATGATGATGATGACGTTGATGATGATGACGATGATGGTGACCCGATGATGGTGATGATGATGATGAGGATGATGATGAGGTGATGATGATGACTTTGATGATGGTGGCACGATGATGCTGAGGATGCTGATGTTGATGATGATGGTGTCCCGATGATGATGTTGATGATGATGATGTTGCTGATGATGATGGTGTCGCGATGCTGATGATGTTGATGTTGTTCATGATGATGATGATGATGATGATGATGATGATGATGATGAGCCTATGATGGTGTTCCAATTGATGATGATGATGGTGTCCCGATGATGATGATGATGATGTTGATGGTGACGATGGTGACGATGATGGTGTCCCGGTGATGATGATGACGATGATGATGATGATGGTGGTGGTGGTGATGTTGATGTTGATGATCATGATGATGAGGTGATGATCATGATGGTGTCCCGATGATGATGAAATGATGATGATGATGACGATGATGATGATGATGATGATGATGTTGATGACCTTGATGGCGATGATGTTGATGATGATGTTGATTGTGAGATCGATGGTGATATCGATAATGAGATCGATAGTGAGACCGAATGTGAGATCGATAGTGAGATCGATCGTGAGATCGATAGTGAGATCGATTGTCAGATCGATAGTCCGATCGATTGTGAGATCGATCGAATGAAATAAATCGAGTGAGATCGATGGTGAGATCGATCGAGCGAGATCGATCGAGCGAGACCGATAGTGAGATCGATAGTGAGATCGATAGTGAGACCGATCGAGTGAGACATTGGTTCCTCCCCCCCCCGAACCTCCTTATCACCCGAAGGGTGGTCGTATAGGTATATATGTATACACAGCGTAAATAGTGAATCCACGGCTCACGACCTACGAAAAGGGAGTCGGTCGAAACTCATGTCGCATATGACTAGTCGATTTTTATTGTTTTTTGTTCTCTCTCTTTCTCTCTCTCTCTCTCTCTCTCTCTCTGAATGGGAATGTAACTGGGACATCGGTACTCGGTTGCGGTTCACGTCAGGCGTGCGGGCGAGGCGAAGCTGCGCGAGGGCGACGGTGTGCTGGCGTAGCTAGGGCCAAATCGCACAAACAACTTCTCCCAAGGTACCGCGGTTCCTTGCCGTGGCCGTCCTTCGGCTGGTCCGTGAGTGTTCTTTGGTTGCCCCCAGGTTGTCATGCGGGTTGTCCCGCAAATCGTCCCGTGATTTGTTCCGCGGGTTCTCCGTGAGCTGTCCCGCGGGTTGTCCGACGGATTGTCCTGTGGGTGTGGGTCACACCGCGGGTCGCCCCGTGGCTGTTGCGTCGAGTGCCCAATAGAAGGTGCAAGTCGAAATGACATTGACAAAGGCAAGCGGAATGCAAATCGAAAGGCACATTGGAATGCAAGTCTGGAAACAATCACCACTCAATTCGAAACGGCATCTGTATAGAAACTGAACAACACATCGAACATCGCGTGATATCAAAAACGAGCATCGAACATTGAACTTAATATCAGAACGAACATCGAAATGCAGATGGAAATATGAATCGAAGTTCGATCGACATGCAACACGATGCTCGCTACAACACAAGGCCCGCTTCTGGCTGGCCAGTTCGGGCGGCCGCTCTCCAACAGGGATGTGGTGCCCGTCACGCTGCCGATTGCTCGCTGGCCCTGTGGATATCTGGGACAACGCGATACGATTCGCCGCGAGATTGCCCCCCCACACAAGATCTGGGCCAGCATGGCCAGATAGTACGCAGTTGAATTACTCGAACCAATCATCGACGACGCCCGCGCGAGAACGAGCGGCATATCGACTGCACATGGGTCAAACGAACAAACGGCGCGTCCCTATGGTTATCGGCGTCCGGCGTAACTTCCCTGGACCCCTGCCAGAGTCAGACTCGTCGCGCAGTCTTCGGCGGCGCGCAGGGGGAGGCCTCCGAGATGGCCCCCTGACGACCCAAGAGGCCCCCAAGACGGCGCCAAGAGGGTCCCAAGACGGCCCAGTAGACAGACCTCCACGACACCCAAGATGGTCTCCAAGACGGCCCTGGAGCGCCCCAAGAGGGCCCCAAGTCGGCCCAGAGAGGCCCCCAACACGGCTTCCGATGGCGTCAGACGGGCCAGGAATGCACTCAGACGCCCAGAGAACCTCCCAAGGAGCCTCCAAAGGCCACCAAGAGGCCTAAGGAAGCCCCCGACGGCCTCCGAGGACCCCCCGGGAAGTGCCCAAAAGGTCCTAAGAGTGCCCCCAAAGGCTCTAAGGAGACCTCCTCCTCCTCCTTTTGATGGGCCTGTTTTCCACCACCAGAAGTTGGAGGGGGGATCCGGAGGAGAACGAAGAGAAGGAGGAGTAGGAGTAGGAGGAGGAGGAGTAGGAGTAGGAGGAGGAGGAGGAGAAGGAGGACCACCTCTACCTCCAACTTATGGTGGTGGTGGTGCAGAACAGGCCCATCACCTTTTTCCTTTCCCTCGTCCTTTTGTTCGTTCTCCCCAACGCGAAATTGCCCGAAGGGTTTCCGCAACGGCGGCTGGGGGACACACAACTCGATATAGCTTCGCCGAGCTCTGGCCGCAAGGCTCAGCCACACAGGCGCTACCAGAAGGCAGCGGGCGGCGGTGATTCGGCGCACGCGTTAGGTCGGGACAGTCCCCTTACCAGGGAATTTCGAGCGAAAACTTGAACTTAATCAAACACAGATTCCAAATACATTAAAAGCACAATAATCGAGCAATCGTCCCCAGACTATTGTTTGACTACTTTTGAATATTCCTCCTGTGGAGGGACAGGCCCGACTTAACGCAGGCGTCTTGGATACATAAGACGAAGCCAGGACCGAAAGGAAATCGGGGATCTCTGAGATCCAACGGTTATGGAGGACGTACCGGGCGCCGATGCCGTTCCAGAGCGCTCCAGACGCTCTGAAAAAGTTTTGGAACGCTTTGGAACGATGTATCCTGGTCCTACTTGACTACCTACCAGACCACCCCAACCCAACCCGAAGACCCGAATTTTAATCGAATCTCGGGTTGGGTGGGATATGGGTTCCATGTGCTTTTTCAGTGTTCCCCGACCCCCCCCCACACTGGAAATCGAGGATAAATTTGGGCCTTCGGGTTGGTTTGGGGTGGTTTGGTGGGTGGTGACTACTAGCCTTGGACGAATATAACCAAACCTCCTCCGCATGTTCCCCCCCTCCCTTTCCGAGATTTCGGATATCTGGTCATGGCGGCCGCAGTCTTGTCGGTTATGGTCATGGGGGGCTGGCCGCAAAGGAGCACGAGAGTGGGCAAGGCTGGAGACGACGAAAATGATGACGATGATGCTGATCCGCAATGATCCGCACAAGCCCGCCATTTTGCGGTCACTGCATCATGGCCCCAACTCCGGAACAAATTCCTGTCCCGGTGGGGGGAAGGCGTGAGGACAACACGGGCAGAACGTGGAGATACAAGAATTTCGGTTGACTCCGTATTTCTGCATATTGGAGTGCACAACCGTCACTGCGTGGTCGTACAGAGGACGGTCAATCCTGTCAATCCAGCCTTTCAAAACAGAGATGTCGTGGTCTTTGGTGGCCCCCATCTTTGGCCGGTCAGTCCGAATTCTGTCATATGCTGGGCGGATGTTTACAAATTCAGCGCTGCGGCAGACGCCTCCGAAAATGGCGTGGAACAGGCACACGGACAGCTCAATCTCTTCAAGAATTCCAACAAAAGCGAAACCCTCGTCTAAATTCTGGATTGCCTTATTTATTGCCTCATCAGTCACGGTGGTTATATTCAATTTCTTCCTATCATAGCACTTCCAACCCAAAAGCATCCGTACCATGCAGCCTTGGACTATCTCGGCGTATTCAAGTTGCGTCAGATGCGACATGTTGGCGCCCGCGCCATGCTTGTCGTGGACAAAGCCGCTCAAGATGCGCTGCTCGGGCTGGCGTAAAATCATAATCCGCTGTCCCAAAGGGCGTAGTCAAAATCAGAAGCATGTTAGATCCTGTCGTCGGGCTCGTCAGGCAGTGTGGCTGCTTGTCGTTGCCTAGTTCATGCGCAAGGCCGCTCCTCGGGGGTAGGGGCGCCAGGACAAACTGGTGGCAACGATCGTGGGCTAATGACTGGCAGCCCGTCAAAGCGGAACGCCGCCCTCCAAGACTGCCTCGAGATGGCCATGAGAAGCCCGAAGGTTGCTCAAGAACTCCCCCGACGAC